GAGCACAACGAAATGATCCCTCCTCTATAAACTCAAGTAGCAGGCGGACCTTAAACGCCCTCTGCCCTACGCTCACGCAAGATGGATGTAGACGCGTGGTCGACAGTGCAAAGGAGTGAGTCATTAAGTTTGTCCAACCACCATATTGCTTCTGATGTTTAAAGGGGCACAATTATTGTAAGTTCAAAAATCGAGTAATTATGACGTCAGTTTTCTCTGTCATCACTGGAAGATTCCTCTTGTGTGGCCATCTCTCGCGCGACCGCTGACGACAGCCCCGTAGCATGCGCTACACTAAACAGGCCCCGTCGCCCCGTAGGATAAAAGGCGGTCAACGTCGCACTGACGCGCTGACATACCGTAATCTCGTTCGACGCAGCTCCTTTCTATCATTACCTCGTTTCCGTCGTTATTATTGACATCATTTTTACTGCCAACTTGTACTCATACAATACTATGATTCGAACTTTTTTTGCTAACTGAAGAGGTAACCTGTCATCATCAACTTTTTAGAATGGTAGGCACAATTGGTGCTGACCGAGTCGCACCAAAACTAGACGATCCCCTTGAAGCTGCAATTGTTCAATTTCCGGAACAACCAAAGAAGATCTCATTTGACACATTGCTAGAGCAACACCTTGGCAACTTTGGAAGGTAAGCAAACTAACGGCACTCCGAGCTATTTTCCATGTGGAACTATCAACCGTTGACCGTGACTTAGAGGCCAGTTATATACTTCCAGATACCAGCTTCTCCAATTCGTCTTACTATGTCTACCGACCATATTTGTAGCAATGCATGTTATGAGTTGGGCTTTTGTTGCCGTGCCACCACCCCTTACGTAAGCGACATTTCTGTATCCCTCTATAAATTGAAAAAAATGCTAGTTGAGAGGTTCCGCAACAAAATTGCACAGCAGTGCTCTCTACTGTTATGTCGTAATTAATTTCTCTAGGTGGAACCGTGACTCCTTGCAGGGTTAATTCTCATCATTTGTTTTCTCAGATGTACAAATATGACTTTGATGGAGAACTGCACAATTGAAGACACGAAGTCCTCAGCCGTTGCAAGGGTAAGCGCTCACAAATTCTAGTACAAGAGCTTTGGTGTAAAATGTATCTCCTTTTAGTGGCACATGTACGGAGACAGGTCATGGATCAAGGCAACCGTACAGTCACTATACTACATAGGTCAGATGACAGGATCACTATTCTGTGGAATAATGGGTGACAAGTGAGTTCTCTTCCGAAGAGCTTCAAGCTTCTCGAGATTACCGTATCCCATTTGCAGGATCGGAAGGAAAAAAGTTTTTTATCTCGCTATCGTCATTCAAACCGTATGTGGCCTTGCACTAACTGTTGCTCCAACGTGGTGGCTCTTCGCTCTGTTGAAGTGAGTTTGTTGGAGCCCAGGGAAAAGGAGTGCCTTATAAACCGAGACTTACAGGGCAGGAACAGGATTCTCACAGCCAGGCATATTCGGTGTGGCTGTTGTATTGGGAATGGAATTAGTCGGTGCTAAGTATAGAAGACTTGGAGCCGTTGTGGCTGGTGCATTTTACGCCGTAGGAGAGGTATATTTTCGAAATTTTTGGTTGCCTGATGACGTCTAGCACCTTTACTAAACTACAAATTTAGATGATGCTAGCCGGTATGGCATACCTTCTAACAGATTACCGTGTTCTTCATGCTGCTATAGCGCTACCTTCTCTAATATTCTTCTCCTATTGGTGGTAAGTATCCTCAACAAAGGAATAGTGATACAGTGTGAGAACTGCCATTATTTCAAGGGTGGTTCCGGAGAGCGCCCGTTGGTTAGTAACAAAAGAACGTTATGACGAAGCCGACAAGATTCTTCACAAGGCCGCTCGAATAAACGGATCGTACGTTCCGGAAAGATGGTTAGTGGGAATAAGCTACAAAGGGTAATTTTAGAGAACTATCAGGCTAGCGTTACAGGTGGGAACAGTTGATGCAAACCCAGAACAGCAAATATCAGTCGTTTGGCATAATCGATCTTGTTCGTACACCGAAGATGCGCATCCGAACGCTTGTCTGTTTCTTCCTGTGGTAGGTTCTGACACTGACTGAAGTGAAACCCACATTACTACGTGGAAATGAATGACTTTTATTCAAGGCCTGTGAATACTATGATGTACTATGGACTGACTATGAAGAGCGATCTTGGTGGTGGCAGTCTTTATATAAATTTCGCCATTAGTGCTTTGATGGAAATTCCGGCTCTTCTCGTCGTGTACTTCCTCATCGATCGTATAGGGAGACGCCAACTTGTCGCATTTGGTCTACTGACTGCTGGACTTTGTCTGGTCTTCAATTGGGTCATTGGGGACGACGGTAGGTATTCCAGACTTTCCAGTTTCACAGCATTTGCATGATATGCTACGCTATACGGGAGGCATTTCAATTCTAACTCGATTCTGCAATTTCAGTTTCATTTTATTGGGGAATGTTACAAATGATGATTACGAAGGGTGCTGTGACGGTCTCCTACACCGCTATGTACACTTATACTTCTGAACTTTTCCCGACGGTAATTCGCAACACTGCTGTTGGATGCTGCTCAACAATTGCTCGCGTCGGAGCTATCATGTCATCGTATATGGCTTTATGGCTGGTGAGTTTCAAACTTGTTCAATGTGTGAGTGAGACGAACCTGGAGAGCCTTTCACTATGACTTCCGCATTCTCGTATGAAACTTGTCTATACGGTTCTGATCCTATGGCGAAGTAAGCTGAAGCGGTTATCAAGTCCCGAAGACATTCCTTACTGACAAGCGGTGACCAAACTGATTGATTTGCAGCGAACCGAATCAGGTTTTCTTGTGCAGAGAATTTGACGGAAACGCCAGCGAGTACATGCACTAGTCACACAAAGCAAAAACAAACAAACCAAACAAGATTTCTGAAAAGATGTTCAAGTTAAAGACCTTCTACCAGTCAAAGATACCGCCAAAAAGGGAATTAAAACTGATGAAGAAGCACTAGCAAATTCCAGGTTGACTCCTACGGCAAGCTCGCTATGGTCATTCCGTTCACAGCACTTTCATTGATAGCTGGATTATTGACGGCGGTATTTCTACCGGAGACGATGAATAAACCTATGCCCGAATCCATATCAGAAGTGGAAGGGAACGAAATCTAGAGACCCAGTCCGAAATGGACGAGATGTAGCTTATACTAGAACAAGGACAAGCTCAACTGCTACTTCTATAGTGAACGATTTACCTTTTTTACAACTGATAATAGTGTAAGTTTCTATCTAGTTGACTCGAAACTATCATAGTTTCTCGATTTGTAAAATATGACGGTCTGTTAGGCACAGTTATTGTGTCGTTTGTTTGCATTTTTCTATTGTAAGGGTATGGACAGGTGTACTGCTACACTACTTGCTATTAGCTTTACTGTTATCTATTTGTTTGAATTGCTTTCTTTTATGTGTCCCTTAATTACGATAATTATCATGTTGAACAACGTGCTCTAATTGCAATGAGTGGATAATTATATACATTATGACAAAGAACGACATCTGTTGATGGATACTACGACTATTTGACACTTCTGTTGATTTTCTTTGTTAATTTTCGAACAATTAAACGTTCGAGCACCATTATTTCTTTGTTTGTCATCACATAGTAGCCTTCAAATATTATCCCACTTTCTGGAGTATAAGGCGCATTCATGTATACGGCGCACCTTTGCTTCGAACGCCGCGAATAATTCTTCTTACACTTGCGTGTTTTTATTTGTTCTTAATCGTATTGATGACTTGTTTTGATAAGAGATGCTGAAAATCAGCTGGAAGATAAAACTATGCAAAAAAAGGCAGGAAAACTGTCGCCGTGCCTAGCAACTTTGAGCGTGCTTGTAGCACATTTAGCACTTTTCGTGTAAAACTTCGTTAAATGTGCCTTATACGCCTGAAAATAGGGCCATTTTGGTTACTAATCGTGACACTGATTACTGGTCACTCATTTGACAGCGCACTCTCTCAAGGAAAAGTCCTGTCAAAATCTGATAAGACCGCTTTATGATGGTATCCTTTTGCTGGATAATGAGCAAATGTGTGAGTCTAGTTTGAAAGTTCAATTGCTTTCCACAGATCCACAGCTGAACCAGAAAACAATGACAGTTTAAAGGCATAGGGCACGATAATTTGGTGCTCGCTTGGCAGCAGGGGGCTATATAGTGGGGAAATGGCGAAAAAGCAGTCATAAACCTTCGAAAAAAACCTGTGATCAAACACACTTAGAAAGCGATTCCGGACGAGTTTCCCTTTGGCACAGCTATGTTAGATACGGTTGCATTTCATATATGCATGCTGCATCGCAAATGCTTCTTAACAGGCCCTTTGCTTCATGTTCATCGGAAATGAAGCGACACAGCATCAGATCGGTTGGACATTTGTGGACAGGCGGGCACGGTAGGCGTCCGGGTATACTATAGTTTGATAGGCTACTATAAGGGTATTTCCCTGGAAAAGGTACCACGCAGCACTTGCTCAGGTTCGCCGAATTCTGACCTGCTGGGCGTATCAATCCTACACGTCTTGGGGATCTATCGTGCCAGTTGTCTTTGAGCATGACTTGCTTCCATGGTCCATTATAGCATAGTTTCTAGTAAGTAGCTCGCGGCTAAATGACATTAGCCTAATTAATCATTCTCTCACCTCGAATTACAGAAAGGGTCGCATGACAAGTGCTCCAAGTGTTCTAGCCTGGGCAATACAGTGAACAAGCTTTGTGCAGCCTCGGGCCCGAATTAACTATAAGGCCTACTACTACGAGGCATATATAGCCTATATGGCCTGGCCTAAGTGTGTTTTTATAATAAAATATCTCATGACTATTAAAGGATGAAAGGATAACCTTCGTTGTGATCACCTTTTTAGGGGTGCGGCATACATTCCACTTATAACCAGAATCCCACTGGCTTATTGAATGCAATGTGACCTATACAATGAACGGCACGGGCTATTCGCTGTGCAAGTCAGTGGTCTTCTCCTCCGATAGATCAGATGGTACCAATTCACCGTTCTCAAAGGGTAGAAGGCTTTGTTCGTGGGCAGGAACGATCCGGGTTTGACCCTCGACCGCACGTGTGGTAAGCGTGCCCTTTGCCATTACACCACCTAATGACTATTACATTTTGAAATTCTCGAAGATGTGAAGAGAAGATATCCCCCACTTAAAGCAACGGATGATGGAGTGCATAGGCATTTGGCGTGTTTAACATTGCACGACAACCAAAAGTGTAAAGCTTACGCTGTTCATCAATCCCATTCTGGGATGCGGCACGTATTCTACTGCATGGCTCATTAAATGTGATTTGGTCTCTACTCTGACTTGCTGGGCCAGCCGTACGTGTGACAGGGTTTTGTCCTCCCAGACGTGGTACCACTTACCACTCCACTAGCCCCAAAAGGTAGAGAAGACTTCGTTAAGCAGAGTGCGAGCTAAGCCGGGTTGTGATCCCTGCGCTGCGCGCGTGGTCAGCTATTCGTCTGCCACTACAACACGACAAGATACAAACTATCCTATGAATACCAACCAATAGGCTTTCGTTGTGTCAAGTAGTGGGTTACGCTTGGAAGCTACGTGACTTGATAGCTGAAGGGGAACGAAAGGGTAACCTCACTTTTCTTGCTTAAAGCATGATTTTCCCCATGGTGTTTGTAGTCCACATAGCCCTCACATACAGCTGCGGAAAAAAACTTGGAACAAGCCACAAAATCGCGTTTCAAACTGTTCTGAAGCTCTTATTCAACAGCAATACAGCAGAAAGGTAAGCAGATAGCGAGAATTCAACAGGAAAAATTTATGCAGCGCTCTAAATTTAATTGCTTACCACTGCATTTGCTTATGGCCTTCATCCTCCGTGGAATCGACTCCATAGGAGCTCCAGGTATCCACGGATATTCGCCTCTTAATTTCTCAAAATGCGTGGGATTGCTCACTTCATATTGGTGGCCTTTCCCTTTAATTCATGCTTCGAGTCATCTCAAAAATGCCTGATAGCGCTAACGAGACGACTTTTACTCGGTCATTGTCTCGGATGCTGACCTTGGCTGCTGAAACCTAGATATCACGTAATTTTCTATTTGCTCAGAGTCGTTTTAACTAATTTGAAAACTGTTCTCCCAGGCATACTTTATCTATATCCACAATATTTCGGATACCCAAGTCAAAGAAAATCAAAAAATAATTTGATAAGAAATTCCGATTTTTTTGCTTGTTCCAGGTTTCTCTTTCCGCAGCTGTATACAAATGTCAATTTTGAATATGCCTTAACTCTGCTTTTTCAAAGGATGACAGCCATTCTCCAGGATAATTCTGACAACAAAAATATGGAAAACTGGTAGAGATCAAGCAAATACTTCTGGTTAGGAGTGCATCGAACCACAGTATTTCAGACTACCTCAAAGGTCGCACTACCACCATAGGCACCCAAACTGACAAAGGGAGTTTTACTCAACTTCATGGACTCGTGGCCAGTCGACGAGTTCCATTGGCATTCGCATACGGGCACGATCAGGGAAAGGTCGCAGTCAATCCAGCATTGCGAAAATTTTGCGATAAACACGAGTGTAAGTCTCAATGGAATGAAGGTATAGGTGACAATCCCGATGCCAAGTCACTTTCTTTGGACTGCTCCAAGCACAGTCACCACTCGAAATCACGAAAACTTTCAAATCCTCGTGTTACTGAACAACGTATTCTGAGGCCGACTCATACTCCTGGAACGGGCACTCAGTCACCACTAGAAACCACGAGAACTTTCAAAGTCCTCGTGTTACTGAACAATGTATCCTGAGGCCGACTCATACTCCTGGAACGGAAACCTTTGTAATCCAGGAAGGCGAAATGATGACTAACCAACCATGTCAGAACGAAAAACAATGTCCTACAGTAAGAGCCGACTACGTTAGAAATGCAAAATAAACAACGAGCTCGCCACTTTTTCCCAAGGCATAGATTTGATAATTCTGACATACCATTATGACTACCAGAATGCTCCTGCGATGGGGGCATTCATTGTCCACTAATGCAACCCAACAGAAAATTAGGAAGGAGAAAAGATCAGTACCTAGATCAGGTTATAGCATCGTGATAAGTGAAATGTCAGCACGCCCCTCCCCCCTTTGACAAGGATCCTGGTGCGACGCTCCGCCCTCCTTCCAGCTCTAATTATGTGCTCTGATGAGTAGGATTAAATACGTAACGATTTGCAAAAGCTTGCGGCTGCGTTGAGATCCCAGCGCAAAGAGCGTAAAGTGGCGCTGGAGCACTTGTGTTGACATGGTAGAGATCGCGAGGCTTCTTTTAGGCGTGACAGCTTTTTTAGGCGTGGAGTTTTCCAGAAAAGGGAGGCAGCATGTTGAAGCAATCTCTCACTTGTTGCGTTTTCTTACCACATGTTACCCGAATCTTCCCTTGTATGAGCAATATTTTAAATGGGTTTCGATGGGTTAAGCAGCGTTCAAACTTGTCGCGATGCAGCTGCCGCGATGCAATTGTCGCGATGCGCAGCGGGATGCAACTGCCGCGATCGACTATTATGTTGACAGCTGCTCTAGACTTCGTAATAGACGACATGCGAAGTACGTGGTCTCACGGTGTCCATATTTGCCCTCCGATCAAAGACAGAATTCTCTTTTAGTCGTGTGAATAACAGTAACTGTTGAATGAGCAGTTGTCATTCTGCACTTTACACTGAAGCAACTTTTTCTTCGAAAGAGTTTAGGGATGACATCCGGATGATGCAAGGTTTTCGGTTCAGGCTAATACATGTAATCTACTGGGAGTGTACAGTCATGATCCCTGCGAACCCTGTGTGAGGGAGCGTGAGTTGGGTCGCAGACGGAAGAGTCCCGCCACTCGTTGCCTGCTCATGGCATTATTGCTGAAAATGCCAAAATGCTGGAAATTTCAGATGGTACCTTTATAAGGCCCAATGAAGCTACAACGTGACGGCCCGGACGCCCATCGCGCCCGTTTGTCCACAAATGGACGACCGTACCTGGTGCTCGTATCGCTTCATATGCGAGTAAAGTATGAAACGAAGGGATTGATATGGAGCGGCTGCTGTGCTGCAGGAATATATGAGCATACCACATGCAGCAGTATCTCCGGGGCGGTTATTAGT